TTCAGCCTGGAGAAGAGAAGACCGAGAGGCGATCTCATCAACATGTACAAGTATCTGAAGAGGGGGAGTGTCAAGAGGATGAGGCCAGCCTCTTCTCCGTGGTGCCCAACGACAGGACAAGCGGCAACGGGCAGAAACCGAACCACAGGAAGTTCCATCTGAACCTGAGAAAAAACTTCTTCACTGTGAGGGTGACAGAGCACTGGAACAGGTTGCCCAGAGAGGTAGTGGAGTCTCCTTCGCTGGAGATATTCAGAACCCGTCTGGATGTGATCCTGGGCAATATGCTCTAGGTGACCCTGCTTGAGCAGGGGGGTTGGACTAGATGATCTCCAGAGGTCCCTTCCAACCTAAACGATTCTGTGATTCTGTGATTGATTTTTGCTTTTCAAACTCTTCTGATTTAGGCCGTAAGAAGAAGAGTGGTTTCCACCTCATAACTTTTCATAGCAGATGTGCCCTACAAACTCTAATAGGCTCACCCTCTGCCTTTATCAGACAGAAGAATCCAAACAAACTTGATTTTGGTTCTGAATTTAGATTTTACCTCTGAGTAACCTCCGCCTCAAATTTGCATAAATTGGGATGAGGTATTTGGAATTTTGACAGTGTTAAATGTTAGAGAAATGTTAAAATAAAGGTTGAACTCAGCTTTTTACTAACTATTTTAAAATCGTGTATAAAGGAAACACTTCTATTTTGTAGGCTTTGCAACATCCCATCCACATGCACAGCGTAGATATATTTGCCTGTGGATGTGCAGCCAGCCTAAGTTTTGGCCCTACCTTGTGCTGTAATACCGCATTGATTCGAAGGAAAAACAACAACTAAAAGCTGACAGAGAAGTAACAATGGCGTAGCCCTTGCAAACTGTTAATCCTTGTTTTGGCTGAGTTTCAAATCCTGAACTGAACATGTATAGGGGTTACAACAGCAATATATTCGTAGCGTGCTAGGCCCTAAGGGACCGCTGTAATCGTTTAGTCTGACGTGCTGTGTAACTCAGGCCGTAGACCTTCCCTAAATTAATTCCTGAATGAATTAAAGCATAGCTTTTGGAGAAGGATCGTCTTGTCGGAGAATGCACCACCACCCTCAGCAGATTTCTTTATGTGCTTAGGTTATCCTCATTTTTCAAGATGTGTGTATTATATGTGATCTTAGTTCTTTCGGGTTAAACTTCCAGCCCTGGTGTTGTGTTAATTTATCTTTTAAATTAAAAAATTAACTACAGTAAACGCTATCATTAAACTGCTGTTTCCGAGAGTGAAAATACTATGTGCTTACATATTTTCTCTAGATGCAGAACTGATCTAAGAAATTCTTAAAAAATACAGGATAATTTTTAACAAGATTATCTGAGTAATGTACTTCAGACTGTGACCTGGGGGACAGGTAAACTGGCACGTCCTAGAGAACAGCGAATTGCAACTCGAGACAGCAATGAGTGGCGAGCAGGAAATGAGTGAGACGGGTGCTTCTTAAGGGAGCTTTACTGCCCAAGACAACGTGACAACATAATCATACTTCTGGGGACTGGGATCAAGTCTCCTCAGCTGTCCTCCATAAATAATTCCTTTTGTTACGTATGTGGTCGTCACTGGCGTGGATGAAGCTTATTTTCTGGATGCAAGTGTAGGATCTTGCATGTTATGCTGTCTCTGAGACTGAACATAACCACACTCAAACCCTTTAAACCGTTTTGAATTAATCAGATGGAGTTCATTGTCTAAGTCCACAATTTGCAGGTAGTTTCAAGGAAACACAGTTTAAAAATGACAAGTTTTGTATGACACTTGGTATGCTGTATGAGGCCAAAAGTTTCTGCAAATCTTTTCTGCAAATCTTTTCTGCAACTACAAAGGCTTCTTAGGTGGCTGCTATGAGAGAGGATTAGTTCCCTTAAATAATAAAGAAACACAAAAGCTGATTTAAATAAGGAGGTATTAATGTTTTCTACAAGCTTTAATGTTTTAGAAGGCTGTTTACTGAAGTCGTTCTGTTTTTTCTTCAGTCTATGCATATTTGTTGGACAAACGTGTCCCTATTAGATGTCTGTTCCCGCTTTTCATTGTGAAATTCAGCATTACCTTTGCCTGTTTTCCAGTTTAGAGAAACCTCCTTTTCTCTCCAGATCGAGAGAGAGCTGGAACTGATGTTCCCTGTCATTGAGGGGTGTCTTAATTCACAAAAGCATTAATACAACAGAATCTGAACTTCCTTTCTCCTTTTTCTTGTCCTCCTCAAACCCGAAGGTTGTACCCTGCTGTTTTATGAGACCTATGGAAGGAATTCGATGGAACAGAGCAGTTTGCCTCGGTACGCCCTGTTTGCAGAAGACAGTGTAGTGCAGTCTATTCCAGAGCATCCCAAGAAAGAAAACGTGTTCTGTCTCAGCAATTCTTTTGGAGATGTCTACCTATTTCAGGTAACAATGTGCATATGTATGTTTGTGATTGTTTCTAATTAAGGTGTGTGGTGTGTGTGTGCACATGTACGTGTATGTGTATGATTTTATGTATACACACATGTACAGACACATCATGCCTGCAACTTTCACTTAAAAATTATAATAGAGTTATTCTATTGTATTATACTATTGTAAGTATATGGTATGGCTTAGGTATTTGATATTACACCAGCAGGCTCAGTCAGTTATGGATCAGAAGGAAGGAGAACAGAGTGCACAAATGAGAATAGTACGAACCTGCAAGACGCTTGCTCCCTGGTTACAGACTTCTAAGAAATCAGCTGTACTGTCAACATTTTTATACCTCTATAAGTGTTCCACATCTATAGAATGATAGGCCCAACCATGAATCTGCTGGCCTCAAAGAGAGTTTGCTTGAGTGAGACTTTCAACAAGAAGGCTAAAAATAATCTGAAGATCTTGGCTGCTTAGCTGCACCACTGAAAATTTTAATGAAAACCAGTATTATGTGGAAGTGCCTGCATGAAAACATGTTGATTCATAGGTGCACTTGTAAATATATCTGGAGACATTTTGTGCGAATGTATTCTCCTTACTTTGCTGTGCTCTTTCCACTGATTTGGCGTCTTTAAATAAGCAAATGTCTCTCCTTAGACCTTACTTTTAAAGTCATCCCTTTCACCATATGAGACTGGAGGGTTTTTATCTTTGAAACCTGTCAGTTTTCACCTTAACTAGTTGGAATGATTGAGGGCTACACGTCTGATCTTTGCCTCAGCTCCTAGGGCTCTTTGTGCTGTCTGTCCCCTCAGATCTTGCAGGTTGAAGACTGAACGTTGGAGACTGAACGTTGGGGGCAAGTGTGTGGACGGAATGTGGAGAAGGCTAGCAGTTTCTTTATTTCCATAATTTTAAAGATAAAAATTTGAGTCATTTTAAAATAAAATGCCTTAGATCTCAGTGAACCTGTCAGATACTTATCATCTTCTAGAGCTGCTGATGCATTTTTGGTATCTCTTATTTGGTTATAATGCTGCATCACACATTTGTTTCACAGGCGACAAGCCAGACGGATCTGGAAAACTGGGTTACTGCCATACATTCAGCTTGTGCTTCCCTCTTTGCAAAGAAGCTTGGGAAAGAGGACACCGTCAGACTGCTGAAAAATCAAACCAAGAGTCTCTTCCAGAAGATTGACATGGACAGCAAGATGAAAAAGATGGCAGAGTTACAGCTCTCAATTGTTAGCGATCCAAAAAACCGGAAGGCCATAGAGAATCAGGTACTGGAAACAATGCCGTTTGTTTTTACTACAGAATACTATTACAGGAGCATATTTATCATTGTTTCTTGCTTTGGACTCTGATGGTTAATGCTTTCTAGGCCTGAGAGTAATTGTCTTGGAGATAGCTGGCATGGTAGTCATAATTTTTGCCAAGTTTCTACTGTGTTCGAGAGCAGTGCGGGAAGCAGGCTAGCGCTCAAAGCTGAGAATCAGACCAATCTGTTTTATGAGCGCATAAGTTATTTATTTTCTCGTCTGGAAAAATGTAATTAATTTTTATTATTTGTTTTATGAGATACTTAGTTATTAATAATATCTAGCTATTACATAGCATACTGCAGAATATATAGTATGTTCTACGAATTTTAAATTTATTATTGAATTACAATAGAGATTTAAGAGTAGGTACATAGCAATACCATTAAGACAGTACTTTATTCAAATAAAATTAGAAGAGGGACTAAAGTAGCAAAAGTGTGTGCTTTAGCTGAAATTTAGCTGTGACTAAAAGGTCAGAACGTCTTTGACTTCTATAAAAGCCGTATAGGAGTCTAAAAGAGAACAAGATGTTAGGACGTGAGTTTTCCATCCTAGGAAGAAAAAGCACTTCCCTGAATACCATGAGTGACATTGGCAGCAACTGGAGCATTGTTCCAATATCAGTTCAAAACGAAGGGGAACGTTAGCTCAGTCGCTAACCACGCTTCTTGTAGCGCTCTAGTTGTGTGCTAGCGATTTTTTGTCTCGGTACAAGCCCAGGCTCGTCGCTGCTTAGCTTGTGAAAGCTTGCGTTATGCAGGAGAGAATCAATATGTTCTTCACCCGTAGGTGGAGCAGACAAAACATTCACCTCTGAACTTGTGTCCAGGTTAATTTTGTTTCATTACAGCCAAATTGAACTGAATCATCCTTTGCCTCCCCCTGTAAATCTAAATATAGCTTTTGAATGCCTCATATATTACTCTGTTCACATTTTCATGTTACGATTGTAGAAATGCCTGAATCTTGGCTAAAGTAGCGGCTTGGAACTGAGGAAGATTCACCACTGAAAATTTGTTTTTAAAGCGAAAAACAGAACAACACCCCTAAAATTTAATTTTCATGGAGTATATGTACCTTGGGATTTTAGCCAAGCCATGCTTAAGACAGTCAGGGCAGACTGATGAACAGCGAATGTTCGGTGCTAGTACTGTTCTTCAGTTAAAATAGTCACCTTACTGTTTGTATACTGTTGCACACACATAAACTCCTACTCTGCCCTGGCTTTTACCATGTCAACTAGACATCAATCCAATGACACTTTATGGAAGTGTATCTGAGGCATTGGGTTCTTGCCCATGTCCGTGGTTTTACAAGCAGCGACTGGCAAAAGATTCTTTAATGAGGCATCTCAGTCTCCAGGCAAAAGCTTTACTACCCAGGAGCTCTTGTGTGCTAAACGTGCCTAATAGTTTAGGTTAATAATTCTGTGGATTGAAGTAGCTATGTCTTTGTTAGGCCATTAACAGAAAACATCTGATAATGTGAGACTGGTATGTGAGACCCCATCCGTACCTGCCTTCCTAGTTGGAGTAGCTATTGCTCTGTCATTACTTCAGGCTGCATATTATGGCCTCATGAGTAGCAACCACAGTTTATTTTCTTTGCTCCAATACAGCATAATGATGTTACTTTGGTGTTAGTAGAACACTCTTAGTTTCATGAATTTGATACTTATCATATTTAAAATTCTTAGTAGACTGGTCTGAATGTGACCGAAGGCAGACTGACTCATGCTAACTTAACCATAAAGCTCTAGCAGTACACTTCTGTCTAAAGCTTTTGAGAAGAGCTTAAGAAGTATTCAGGTTTGTGTAACGATTTGTAGTGCGGATGTTCATAAGCTCTTGCAGTGCTCAAATGTTTATAATTTCCATGTCACGTATTTCATGGGCTAGAGCCTAGTGAGATAAATAGAGGAGGAAAACCCATAAACATACCTTTATTGCAGAAGGTTTTGAGACCTAGAAGAATATACAGATTTCTAGAAACGCTGTAGTGCTTACTGTGGCCTGTAACGCATAATGCACTGAAGAAAAATCTTAATGCATATTAATTTAATTAATTTATCCATCCATTAGATACTGATATTAGTAGTTTATTTAGATTCATCTAAACCGTATTCATGATGGTCTCTTAATTTCTGCTAATCAGATGTTCTGTCCTTGAAAGATTGCAATTGTTTTCCAGGCCTGACTCTGCAAGAAGTTGGTTGCATTCTGTTATAATTTAAATCCCTCACTAGGGCTGCAGAAGATTTATTCCTGTTAATCTTCTGTCTGTGAATTTCTCAAGATATTGAATGAGGTCAAGCCAGTGAGACAAGGGAGTGAGAGGGATCATTTGCAAACATCCCGTAGTTAGCAAACAGTGAATTTATAATGAGCCTTTTCTCCAGTCTTCATCCCTTTGATCTCTATAAAAATGTCTTGCTGCAACTGCTAAAGGTTTGTTGGCAAAGTCACTTCAAAGAAAGGTCAATAGAGAACCAGGTTTCCTGATCTTTTGATTTAAATATCTCAGAGATGGATTTAAAAAAAAATCTTGATATAATTAGTAAGCAAGAATTCTTAATATAATTAGTAAACCAACAATTTTGAAAAAACATTGTTCCTGGGGGAAAAGTTTTCATGTACATAGCTCAGTTGTTTGATAAGTAGTTGTTTAGTTGTCTTTTGCACACCTTGAGAAACAAGAGGAATGTAAATTCTGGGTTTTGTTTTGTTTAGGTTTGATGGTGCTTTCAGTTGTCTGGCAGTTGAGTCCTCCATTTTGAAATACAGTGTTTTGCAGATACTGTAGTTTATAAGCATGCCATACATCCTGTTCCAGAAGAATTCCCTGGTGATATTTTAAGTTGGGGAGGTCAGTGGAAGTACTGTGAGTGACTTCAGAAGGCTCAGGGTGTTCTGTATGTAAATAGATGAACCACAGTCTACGTTTTAATTTTTTTGCATTAGCGACTAGCTGGGAAATTGTGATTTCTAAATCAGCTCTCCATTTCCTTCCTCTTCCTCAGAAAAACAATCACCAACGTCGAGTTTCTATTTTCTTTTACCTCTGTATTGAAGTAAAAGTACTTCTGTATTGAGGTACCAGTACTTCTCTGCTGCAGACTTATTAATTCACAAGCACGCAAAGCCCATTCTTGTCTCACAGCCACATATATTTAAAAATATATACATGTTTCTCATGTCCAGCCGGTGGACTGGAGAGGGTGGAGTTTGATGGTACTGTTTTGTTTGATGGATTTACAAGCTAGCATTTGATAAAGTTAGTGCTAAACAGAAGAAGTAGAAATGAACAATGTACAATTAAAATTCTGGTTTTCTAGAGAAATCGCTGTTTTAGAAACTTGATGCTATAGGACTGGTTGAGAAGTCTTCAGTCTTGCAGCCTATATCAAATATTCCCTCTATCTGGGTTCACTGGTCCCATAATAATAGATTTAGGAGTTGTGTAAGAGCAAACAGCAGCCTTTTGATGTATTTGGCAGTTTAGAGGAGAACAAAGAAGCATCCACTATAACAGTGTACGTATAGCAACTAGTCCCAATAGGCCACTGGCAACATGACTGGAAATCCCAAGTCTGCACACACGCACAAACTACCTTTGCAGCTCTGGCAGCCATGCGTGTTTCCATTACTATATGCAATAAATATGCTGTGGGTGGTGATTGCACCTCAGGGTGCAATTTCTCTCCAAACCCCAAGAGAAATAGGACAAAAGAGCATATTTGAAAATCCCGCGGTGCTGAGATTCAGTTCAAACCCCATGGAGTCACAGCCTTTTAAGAACGTTAGCTGTTTAACCTGCGAGAGAAATCACAGTATTTGGTATGAATATGGAGCCCTGTCTCACTGCCACAGAAGTTACTGAAAAGGATTATTAGCCTTTATTCAGAGCTCTTTTAACAAAATATTGCACATTAAGTCAGAAGCGGGGCTGCCTGTGCCTACAGAACACTTTTTAATGGAATGGAAAAATGTACTTCACAGTGAGGGCAACACCGCTCTTGCTGTATTTATTCATGTACTTGGTACTTTTCTATTGTCTCATTTTAGAACGATATGAATAACAGTTGCTTGAAAGCATTCTGGACTTTTCTCTTCAAATTTTAATATATTGGCATAATCATGTTTTCCAAGCTATCTGGAATTATCTGACATGATTCATATTTTCTCTGTGCATGATACTTAACTTACTTATCAGATGGGTTATGAACATAGCTATTTACTTGCAGGCACTGAAATGATGAAGCATTAATGAGAAGAACAGGCATATGCCTGGAGATAATTTTCAGTGGAGTTTTCCTATCTTTCCTCCAACCAAAAATAGTTTATCTGTCACTATAAAAATGCAAACAAGGAGATCAGTAAGATGGTATTCTGCATACTCCGAGTACTCATGAAATCCGTTAGTACCTTTCTTCTGTTCCTTTTAGTAACTTTTTTTTTTTTTAAATATAGTAGGTAACTTAATTACGTTTTTTGTTTAAAATGTAACTGGCTTTACATCTTCTCTCTCACTGAAACTTATATTGTGATGACTGGAATAGTTTTGGGAATTTTATTCCTTAGGCTTCAAAAGGCCAAATTTAAAGTTTTCATTTTCTATAGAGATTCTGATGAAATATTTTCTAGCATTCAAGTGAGATCTCACAACAACATCCCTCAAAGAGAGTCTTTTCAGGGAGCTTTGCAAGTGTTTGCTGTTGTGCTGCGCACAAATTCAACTTTAATGGCAATACATAGTTACTTTTTTTTTCCCTTCTATACCCTCCTAAACTAACAAATGTTATACAAACTTTTTATGACAGATTTCCCATTTGGGTGGTCTTTGAACTGACTACAACAGAGCTCTGCTTTCTCATCTGAATGGTTCAGTTCTGTTGTTTTTAGGTACTGCTCTTCAATATAAGAGCCATTCCATTCCAATATCCTCTCTCCATTATTAGG